GGATCATCGCCTGAAGGCAACGAGGGTCCAGCCCTTTTGGTCCATCCCCCAAAAAACCTCGGCTTCACTGCGTCCAGGCGAACAGTCCAGTCTCAGTTGTGCGTCGACCCTGCAGCACGTTTAAACAAAGAGGCATTGGACAATCCCAGAAAAAAGGGACATGCCGGGTTTTCCGGGGCCTTTTTCAGGTCACTTCACCTCTCTTGGTTTGGTGTGGTGGTTGGTGACAGGTCAAAGCGTTGACCTGTCCTTCCGATGGGATGTCAACCATGGAAATTACAATTTTAGATTAGTTTAGAGTACAAAATCAGGTCAACCTCTTCTTTATATGGTCCAGAATTGAGTTTGTTAGTCGTTTTGTTTTTTGGTTTCCCAAGGTTATTGATACGTGCGTAAATTCTTAGTTTGTTGTTCTTTTTTACTTCCTTTCCAAGACAATCTGTACTGTTGCCATCTCGTTCAATCTCCAAGCATTTGAACCTAAGTCTCACCTAAAGCCATCTGTTCTTTCTTCTTGCATTGAAAGCGCCTAAGCCCAACACTCCCTTTGTCCTTGTCCACATCTCTATGTACAGGTCTGTGTGCATTGACTTCTGGTTGGTATCAGTGCTGTTGCAATTTCAATCAGCCTGACATATGAAACTGTAATGAACATGTGGAAGTTGCAGTTGTAATGCATTTCTCGTCAAATTTTAACTAAAATCAGATCCAAATCTGATTTAGTTATAAATTAGTCATTTGAGTTATAACTAATTGTATTTTACATTTAATCTGTTTTAATGGACCGTTGATTCTAATTCAATTTTAGCTAAATTTTCAATTTACTTCTAAATCAAAATGTACTTTGATTCTAATTCAATTCAATGTTAACTCTATAATTCAAGAAATTCAAAATTAATGTAATTCTAGTTCAATCTTAGTGCTTAATAATAATAGAATTCTAAGTTAAGCAATTCTAACTCAATTTTAACTTAATTCAGTTCAATTTATATAGCTCTAATTCTGTGGTGCAAGTTTAATTCAAGTTTAATGCAATTCGAATTTAACTATACTGCAAATTGAATTCTACTTTAATTATCAGATACGGAGGGCAGGCTACCACTTAAAAGAGTTTTAGAAAGCAAATGCTACAAAACCATGTATTTTACAGTGTTTTCTTGTCCTGGGAGTGCTGGGAACTAGGTCTAAACACTGTTTTTGAGTAGATAGCTATACAGTATATATTACTATATTGTTAGGAAAAATAGTTTTTATATTAACAAAACTGTCTATAAACGCCTCGAATAATCATTTCTATATGTCTAAACACCTTATATTTCAATAGCGATCGGCGATCCTCTAGATCTCTGTGAATGATCACTGTTTACAACAAACGCATTATATAATGCTATATATGTGTAAGCTTCTGTTTTAAAGGTTTCCTCTTAATCTCTGGGAATAATATGTTCTATACTTTAAAAACTTTGGTTTTAAAAGCTTTCCTCTAGATCTCCAGCAATGATGACTTCTATATTGAAAAGCTTTATATAAAAGCTTTCATGTTCAAAGCTTTCCTCTGGATCTCGGGACAAGTGAATTTATTAATCTTTGTAATATGTTTCGCAGTATCAGATATGGAGGGCAGGCTACCACTTAAGATGTTAACTAAAACTTATGGAAAACCAAAACACAGGTCCCATGGCGTGCCGCTCTCTTTGGATTAATCTGGTTGAATGTTAGAAAAAGAAAGCTAAATTCAGCCTCCAAAATCATTGCTCTTGGCTTTGTTGTCTTTTTGTGCGTCCGAAATTCCTCTCGCTCCATGGCCAAGAACTCTCAGAAGGGTTCTTGTAGCCTTCTGAGAAGGCGCCCCTCTCCCGATCCCATCGGACCATGCCCACCTGGTCACTCTCATTGCAGCACTCAGGCACTTGCCAATCCACTGGAACCTCTTGTGTTTCCTGGCGAGATCGTTGGCGTAGATTGGACGATCTGGACGGCAGTCAAGGCTTTCACTGCTAGGCCAGTAAAGGCGGGGGGTATCTCCTGGTTTTTGCACAAACCCATAGCCAGACATGCCCAAACACGATGCACGGTACTGGAAGATGTGCTATCCATGGATTAGTCATCATGGGGTAAATCTCTATATATATATAACGTTCATTATATAACATTACATGGACATTGTGTGTTTTTCTTCTTTTCGGGGGTCTGGTATGCAACATTTTAACAGGGTTGATTCAGTGGCGTCTTGAGCTGTATTTGGGAGGTCATTCACCGCTGACTGTTTTCCGGCCTTTGTGTTGTTAGGCTCTCACAGGGTCTTTGGCACACCTTCTTTGTCTTTCGTCAGCAAGTGGTTCAAAAATGCTCAAAATCACGTTGGGCCGTTGAGCCTGTTCCACTTGATCAACGCCAATGGCTGAAAAATGCCGAGAAAGACCAAAGGCTACGCAGGTCTGTCGGTCCCAAATCCTGGCGCACAGGCGTGCGCGGCTGCCCTTAGCCAAGATCTCCACAAATCCACTCAAGGTGTGGTCGGGTTTCTCTTTCGCACCTCCTTCTTCTTCTCTTTGCTTGGAACCTGAAGGCCCGGTTACTGTGGTGTTTGACACTGGCTTCAGGGTCAGAAGGACCTAGCTTGGTGCTCTGCCTGTTCCGTGTGAATGTCCATTCACCTCAAGTATTGGGGGACATTGACATGTCGTAGTTCCTCAAATCGCTTCTGATACATTCACTGCAGGTTGGACATGGTGGGACCACGTCCAAGAGCTGAAGAAAAAGAGGTCTTTTTTGAGCGGTCCCTCTTTGTTCCAGTTCCCTTATTTTGAGACGACGCGTGAAGCATCCAGAAGTTGGAGACCATCTGGTCAAAAGGTGCGTGGAAACACGATCTGCGTTGATGTCTCCCTGGAAAAGATGGACAAGGAACGGCAGGCTGCAACAGCTCCAGTCCACTGCTGCTCAGAGGACCCGGGATGTGAAGGTCGAAACCCCTCGTGCTGACGGCTCCGATATCTCTGATCGCTTCGCTGTAACCTGCCAAGGGCCTGAATGGGCTTGAAAGGGCTCATATTGAAGCTCCATGTCGGGGATGCCTATGAAGCTATTTCTTTTTGGAGGGAAAGGATGGCCCTGGCACTGTGGCATTCGATGGGAATGACACCCATTCTCAGAATTCTTCGCTCATCCGGTTTCCAAGTCACAGCGTGCCGAGTCGAAGTCACAGCGGTTTTCCCGTGCGTCCGTCCGAGAAGTCGCGAGCTGACTCGACCCGAGTTGGACCGGACCCCGCCAAAACCCACCCGATCTCGGCGCTCTCGTTGGAGTCTAGCGCGGCCGAGGGCCTTGTCTTTGCTTTTGGCCATGTCGCTTCGCGTCTTGGAGGGCCTGGCCCAAGCTGAAGAGGGGTTTGGGCGGGTAGTGGAGGGGGGGCCGTGCCCTGGCCAAGCCTTGTCCAAAGTGGCGTGTCACGCTGTCAGACTTCCATTCACACTCCATATTACATGCCAGTCCCATGCATTGTCGGGACCAACAAAAACAGAAAGCAATGCACCTAAATGCGCCTATAAGCTATTTTCTCGTGAAAAATACAAGACGGGCTCCCTCCACCCACCACCCCAGCAAAAAAACACCTTCCACCCAGAAACACCCACGACTCGATTCGATGGTCCATGCTTCGCCAAACACATCACCCCCGCACCTTGGAGACGGCTGGGGGGAAGGCCCCTGTGACGGTGCCGGTGAGGAGAGCCCCTGTGACGTCTGTGACATCCGTGAAGGAGTGGGCGACCCCTGGCGGCCGTTGGTGCCGACCGCGCGACGCGGAATGGAAGACATCCATCCCCATCCATTCCCATCCAAGTCGTTCACTGACCCCTGGGAGGTGGGGGGGGAGAAAGAGAAATGCTCTGCATCCTCTGCGCCAAAAATGGCTCCGGAGGGCGGTTCCACTGGCCAAAACAAGTTGCGCCAAAACATCTTAGAAGTACTCCCCCATACCTGGCAGATGGCCAGGGGCAAACCATGAAAAAACGCTGGGCCCGTCGAAATGGCACCTGAAACATCCAGAGCATCGTAGGACTGATTCGCACGAACGACTGGAATGTGAGGATCAGGACGGCCCCCCTTCGGGGTGTCCATTAGTAGCCCCTTAGAGTTAACATCGCCGGACCCAGGAATCTTGAGCATAACAAACATGCAAAAACAAAATAAAAAATAGAAAAAAACACTGGCACAAAAAGCAAAAACAAACAAAAACACATCCAAAAACCAAAATGAAAATGCAAAACACACAAAACAAATCAAAAAAACAAAACACAACAAATGAAAACACAAAGACCAAAAAAACAATTAAGAGGCAAATAAAAAACAAAAAATGAACAAACAAAAACACAAACAGTGTTCATTTGATTTTTTGGGATTTGTTTATTGTTGTTTGTGTTTGTTTCATTTGGATTTGTTCTTTTTGGTTTACGTGTGTTTTTTGTTGTTGCTTTCGATTTCTCCAGCTGCGATTTGTTGTTTTCGTTTCTTTGTTTTTTTATTCGGCAAAACGATTAGAGATATTGTAAGTGCTTGTGGGTCCTACAGTCCTACAGTTCAGATCTGAGACCTCTTGAACAGGTGAAAATGTAAAAACCATGCTTACCACACCGGTGCTGAGGGGGGCCGGCTATGGCTGTGATCATGCTGCTTGGGAAGATCGAAACACAATCTACTAATCTAGTGGAGATTGCAGACCCTCTTCACCATTCAGCTCACAGTCACCAAAAAATTTTAAAAAAATCCAGTCTAGACAAACAGTTTTCCTCTCTCGCAAGAACTGAATGTCAGAGTCGTTTATGATTCTAGGACCCACACGAAAAAACCCTGAAGAGCAAACCCAATTCCTCTGGAGTTGCTGTAAACTTCAATTTTTATTTGTTCACCCATGCTGTAAAACGAGTCTTTTGGCACAGCAACCTGGAACTCCCACAGCACCTTTCCGGCGTTCTTCTTGGCCAGGTCCAAGTGCTGCTTCAGCGACCTAGCAACACGCTGCTCGTGGCTCGCGCGGTCCAGCGGCCGATACGCCCGTGTTTCCCTTCCTCCACCGGACAAAAGGGTAGGAAGGTCCTGGAGTCCTGGAGTGACATATATTGCATGTTCATTGCTGTGATCCATCCATTGTAATTAACTATTCCAGCCCAAGTCCTGCCCAGTCCTACCGTCACGCACCCAAAAAAACATCTCAGAAAACAGTGATGCGACGATTGGACAACATCGTTTGGGTACCCCCTGGTTGGCTTCGAATGGAAAGCGGAAGCGTGCCCTGAATCGAGCACGGCGGACGGATCACTTGCGCCCACAATCTTGGATCACTTGCCCCCGTGGATCACTTGCGCCCCTAACAGAAACCGTTTGCATGACCCTGTCAGATTTTGATTGATATGATTTCAATATGATTGTTTTACGAAATCAATATGACCCAAATCTCAAACCTAGTCATTCACTCTTCAAA